AAAAATATACCTATTTGTAGGTAGTCATTCATTCAAAGATTCATGAAAAAATATTTATAATTTAATGAATATCGTTCCTAGAAAAGAGGATTCCAGCGTAATGTAGAACAACTGATTTCTTTTAGAGAGAAATACGACCTGCTTTAATTACTATTTCTGCAAAATTAAAATCTTAAAGGTATTAAGAAATTCCTCCATTTTTCTTTAAAAAACGATTTTCAGTCGAATAAACTGCAAACGGTTCCCATTTCTAAATATTTTGTGCTTTAATCGAGGAAGCACAAAGCGATCATAGTGGAGCACCTCTTTTGACCGTTTCATTAAATAAAAATATTGCGTTTCGTGTAATTAAAATAATTCATCCAGTAAATCAAAACTGCATCAGCAAAGAACAATTTAATGAAATTCCCATTAACGTTTACGGAATAGTTTCGTATTTAAAAGGGTTATAAACGCTCGAATGATCTCGAAAAATGTAAAAGAGTAGAAAAAAGCAATAACTAAGAAACAAAGGATGTATAAAAACTTACCGGAACCTTTTTATGTGTACTGTACAATTTCAGCATCGTTTTGATGCAATATATGCGTAAATAAATAAAAATTGAAATTAATTTTGACGTGTAACATGTTGTTAATATGTTACGTATATTAAAATTCAACTGTGAAATGAAGTATTAATTAATATATACCTATAAAGCTAATTTTTTATATCGATGACAACATCATACAAATAATTGTAATAATAATTATTTTGACTAATAACTAGCCGATATAGGCAACTTGTGGTATGTAAATTGATGATAACTAGGACATTAGTTCACAAAACTGATTCCGTTATGTATTATTTTGCCGTGCCAATTAATAAACAAAATTCATTTTCTGATTCAGTCTGCATCATAACACATTTATGATCGTATGTACGGAATAATTAATTAATGAAATTTAAATGACCATTTGATAAATACTAGGTTTTAATTGGTTTTATATTAATACAAATTAAATCTATTTCAAATAAACATCATGAAATAATTTATCAGTTAAATTTAAATCATGTTTGCCTATGGATGCTAAATGTGTAAGAATTTGAAGAATTTTTTTTGTACACAAAAGAAGTCATCTAATTGTAAGTTTAACAACATATGTGAAGGGAAAACAAGACTTAATCTTACTGATCTTATATCGCCAGATCTGTATATTCATGACTAATTGAGGTTATCTCCAATGTTTGGTGTGTGTAGAGAACCAATTGAGAACTTAACCTTACATTACATCATCAAATAGAAGAAGGCTGCAACACAATTAGGTCCTAATACATACATAATATGTAGAGTTTGCATTGACATGAAATGAAGATTGTCTCTAGTGACGTATTTTATCCGTTCGTTTTAAATTTGTATGTACATACTGTCAAGAAGGGTCATAAAATTACGTTTTATAATTTTTTGAAAAACGATGTGTCTCATGTTTGCAAAAATTTAAATAATGTAGAGGTACTGCTCAAATATAATGACAATAATCCTGAATTATCCGTTTATTCAAATCGTAGGCAATACTCTGTAAAGATTGATTTAGTCTACTAAAATAAAAACTTTTTTTTTACTTAAACCTTAACATGTATCTCGAAAATGAAGACTTTCCGGTTATGCAGGGTGTTAGTTGAAGTTTGACTGTCTTAATTTTAACAGACGATAGAATATATTAAAATAAACAAAAAAACCTTATATGACATGGGTTCTAAACTCAACCATTTCCGAGATAAAAATTATCAAAATCTCCAATTTGATGTACAAAAGTTCGATTAATTAAGGAATATTGACATAACTACGTGCATAGAAGACAATGTTTATCACTTTTTTGAACTTCTTTATGCTTAATTCTAAAAAATAATTAGCGTTGTAATAAATTTAAAATTCGATAAAATTCATATCGAGCAATGTGACAACGGCGCGGCGGTTTATTAACACGAGGTACTAAGGTGTCCAGCAACCACCTATACGGAATTCAGTTCGTATCTGGATTCAACCGTGTCGGAGTGTTTTTTGCGTACCACTATTTCCTTTTTTTGAGGGGTGTTTTCCATCGAGTGCGTGAAATTGGATTCGAAGGTATCGTGCGTGCATCGAAAATGGTGGTGGACATTTTGAGCATATGTTGTAGATTGTTTATTACTTGTGAATTTAAATTTCCGTTTTTGGTAAGTACCTAAATTATTTTTAATGCGTATGATTATTTGGACTACGTGAATTTTTGCCTATTTTAATTACATATTTTTCAAATACATAATTTGATTAAAAGTTAAGTTCCTGTTTTAAGAGATTCATAATTACTAAAATTCGAGCAAAAATTTAAGCACAACACTATCTTCGTACTACAAAATCGATACATTTTGTTTTATTTATTTAAAAGCTGGAAAACAATTGTCTTGGAATTTACTAAATGTTTCACAATAATAGTTGTTTACATTTTTTCCGTAGGTCAAGTATGCCGCGTGTGCATCAGCAGGTTAAGCGCTGTTGTCACGTTGTCATGAAACTCCCCAATATTAATACTCGCTGTATTTTGAAAACTGTTAACCTTGCGCCCCTGTTATATACAACTTTTTTGTTCATTTATAATTACTCCATCTCATGCTGAAGTAATGGCAGTCAAACTTCTTACGCCCTGTATGTTTAATGAACATTTTATCTTATTTTTTGTAATTATAACATCAAGTATAGCTTCTTATATGTATAGTGAGGACGTTTGGCTTGGAACAAATTCATTTAAAAATTAAGGGTTTGTTTTTTTGGAAAAACACCCAAATACGTCGATTTTTATTTTTGGCTGCGATTTTTCTGACAGTAAATTCATGTATACAGAGTGGTCCAAAAATAAGTTATGACAATCAGCTTTAATTTTTCAAATGGGAATATTATTTTTTATTTCATTTTTGAATTCTGCACCGAATTGTAAGTATGTTTCACATACTATGTCCTATACCTAAACTCGAGAGTTATCAAAAAATTTACGATTTATTTATTTATTTATTTATTTATTTATTTATTTATTTATTAATAAAACAGAACAATTATCCAAATTAAATGTACAAATTGCTGACCACACAGGAAAAGAAAACAATATTGACCCCATTGTCAGTATTAATATTTAATTTTAATATAAAATAATACATAAATGCTCCTTTATGTAAGTAATCGTGTTTAAATGCATTTGAAGCTTAGATTAGGTTTCCTAATCTAAGATTTGAAGCTAGCAGATAATATATCAAGGATTTTACCTATTTCCGCTTTTTCTCCCAATTGTGTACTTTAGTTCCCACCATTCCATTCCCTGATCTTTTCTCATCGGTCATATGAATTATGTTGTACTATGTACTGTACCCACCTTTTCAGACAGGACATATCCAGAGAGAGGGCGTCCCACCGAGAGGTATCCTTCATTCAGTCCAGACAAGTACCCCAAACACACACCTGAGAGGAACCACCCCCACAGGGACAACCCACCCAAAGAGTACCCAGGTGAGAAACCACCAAACACCTGCGACACCAGCTACGACGCCGTGGCGGTCATCAGGCGGGAAGTCTTCATCTTCAAAGACGCCGTAAGTAAAATGTTTTTTATTTTTCCGGATTTTTCCGAATTGTTCCGCCTTATTTGCGCACCAAAGTGTCAAGCTCATTACCGATTTCCTTTCCAGTTCTTTTGGAGGATCGGAGACAACGGCCTGTCGGCCGAATATCCGGCCAGGATCGACCGCCTCTGGCGCGACCTGACTCACGTGGACGCAGTCTACGAGCGTCCCGACGGTCGCATCGTATTCTTCGTCGGGGATAAGTACTATCTGTACGGGGGCAGCAACTTGGAGCGGGGCTACCCTAGGCCCTTGACACAGCTGGGTCTCCCTAAGAGCCTGAAGAAGATCGACGGGGCAATGGTGTGGGGTCACAATGGACACACGTACTTCTACAGCGGGGACATGTATTGGAAGTAAGGTTACTTCTTTATTAAAAATTTTTCATGGTAGCTCTAACGCTGTGTATTAATTTCAGGTTCGATGAAGACGTTCAACGTGTCGAACTGGACTACCCCCGCAACATCTCCATGTGGAAGGGTGTGGGTACGGACATTGATGCAGTTTTCCAGTGGAAAGACGGTACGTTTATAGAGTGAGATNAAATAATGTTTATTTTTTTAAGAGGAATTTACAGTTTTCCGTTGCGACACTTATTTAGTATAAATTAATTAATATTTAAAATAGTGTTTTAAGTATGTTGAATATTAAATATATTGATAATATTCATTAACAGTATTTAAAATATTTTTGTGAAACATTAAATCTGAAACTCTTAAGATGTGACTCAAAAAAATATATTGTATGTGTGAGGCAAGACCGATTTCAAGATCATCAAAAAATTAAAAAAAAACTGACATGATTGGAAACAACCATTTTCATCTGGATTACTGATGCAGAATATTAAATTCATTCATAATTTTTTATTACTTTTTTTAACAAGCAAAAAGTATTTGTTTTTGGTGTAGGTATTTTGGGTATTTTAAATACTTCAAGTATTTTAAATACTCAAGGGTATTTAAATTTTTTTGAAAAGATTTTAAATACATTTTTAAAATACAAAATACAAAATAAGTTGTTAAAGTATTTGAAATGCAAAACATTTTTGGGGTTATAACAAAAGTATTTTAATTACAAAATACTGTTTTATATTTAAAATACTATTTGGTATTTTTTTGTCAAAATACTACTACAGGACATGGCACATGAAACATACTTAGAATTCGGTACATAAATTTACCGCAGATCAGAAAAACCGCAACCAAAAATAAAAATCAACAGGTCCGAGCGTTTTTCCAAAAAAAAAGCACCTGAATTTTAAATGAATTTGTTCGAATTCACGGATCCTCACTATATATGACATTTTAAAAGAATGTCCCCCGCAAATAGTCGCGGAGTTCTCTAAAATATTATCCACCATGTAGATACTTACCGATCACCGTGAGGTGTATGAAGTGGCTGAGGTGCGGTGTGGACGACACCTGGCACTCGTACACCCCCGAGTCCCTGTGCTGGGGGTACTTGATCTGCAGCGTCCAGTCCTCGGAGTGGGGCTGGTGGATGGCTCTGAAGCGCTGGTCGCTTGTGTAGGTGTAGCGGCCGACGGTCAGCAGGTGGACGTCCCTGTGCCGCACCCACGACACCTGCAGAGACATCTGCAAGTAACATACCGTTCTTTTGCCTACCGGGTTAAGCGAGTGATCTAGCTAGCGTGTGTCTGGTTGTGGTGTGGGGTGGGTGATCGGGTGCAGCGATAGCTTGCATGCGGAAAGCAATGTTTGCCGACGACGTCTAGTTTACAAACGAAACAAACAAATAGATATAAAGGCAACAAAGTGAAAAATTAGAAAAGATAGCAATTGAAAACAATAAAATTAATGTCAATTTTTTTTCCTCTTTTGGTAATACCTCCCTTATTACTGGAGACAGACCTATCAAATCTCATTTCAATTAATAGGCGGTCTATCACAATATATAAAAGTGCATAAGGTGTACCGTTTTCATTTAATGAGTATTTGTACCAGCATTTTTTTTAAATAAATAAATTTGTATAGTATAAAAAGGGTTAGTCAAGGGATTGTTTGTATAAATTTGGTTTTACCTAACCAAAAATTGAACAAAATAATGCCATTTTTTTTCGTGAGTGAGTTATTGACCTAGATAAAAAAATAGAACATTTGTAGTAGGGAATGCTATTTCTTGTCAAGTGATTGAATTTTTTAGTAGCGTTTTCAGTTTCTTTAAGTTAATATGCGGGAAAAGTTAATTGATAAGAAAGTTGGAGGGTTGCTTTCGCTGTACAGCAAGAATAAAACGCTCTCTCAAAGGTAATAATAAAGTATTTTATTGAAAACTAAGTTGTATAGAAGAAGACGTGTTGACGGGGTGAGTGTTTGTTGGGGAGTCCGTGGAGTTGGTCGTAGGTATATCAGTAAGCATCTGGTCGCCGGCGCCAGTCCGCCGTAGACCCTTCCTGGAATGCTGGTGCGTCCGGTGGCGTCCTGCTGGCGCTCTTGACGTAATGCTTAAAAATGGATCACTTGCGGCATGTGTACCCACAAGTTCATATATAAATTTAGTTAATTTAGCGCTTTAATTAAGAAAATTATAAATTAAATATCGGTTATTGAAATAACTGATACCGTTTTTATGCAAATGAATAAATTGTCCAAAAACAGCGAGTGGGACAAGTTCATGAATAATTAGAGCCAAATTCAGAGACTTCCCTAAATCTATACTAACATTTCACTCATATCAAATTTATGCTTCACTCAACTTAGGGTGCCCTCATCTCTTTCGCAATTCTGGTATTCAGAAATGTATATATGTAAATGAGTGACACACTGCACAAATTACTAGATAAGAAACAGTTGGCTACTCAAATTTTAAAATATATCATCAGTGGAAACCTAATGTCACAGTATAACTCACGCTGAAAATATATGCATGATAAATTACATTTAAATAATAAATAATGAAAACCAAATGGTCTAATTAATTATTATTGAGGTAAAAAAGATCCCAAGCAATAATAATCATATTTAATTCATTTCCCTACTAGTAGAATATTAGAGTAGAATGAGTGACAAGCAATCATTTATGACGTATGTAACAGAACTAATTTCTAGAAATAATTATAATTTATATAGCCCTCACGTACAGAATATCCTTTATTGAATACCTGGACTTAATTATTTGTAAAATATACTGGTACAATATTATTAAACCACAAAATTAATAAATTAGGAACACAAATCACACGTCAAATACCACTAATATGTCACTAACCTAGCACTCATTTGTAAGGGCGATTTGAGTACGATTTAAGCGACTCGATGAAGGGGAATTGTTTATGAATACGATTAGGGTGAGTTTAGTATGAGATAAGTGTGAGTGGAACTTTAGTGAGATCTATGAATTTTAGCCTTAGAAGTTCGAGTTGGAAAGTTGATTTAAAATAATAGAATTGACTTGTTATCAAGTTTTTTTGACATTCCTATTCATATTTATATATTTTNAAACATTTCACAACATTATCTTTGTTTTATAGAAGTTTTGACATATTATTTTAAAACATAAAATGAACTAAAGTTTAAGCAATCAGACTCATTGGCATAATTAGCATCTAATAGTTTTCAACACTTTAAACTTAATAAAAGTCAAATGAAAATATAAGTGCTTCCCTCCCCGCACCGTGTCAAATTTAGCTTTATTATCAAATTGCCCAATTGTCACGTAGCAATATAATAATGACCGTGCAATGTGATAAATAATGAAGTTTAGATAGTAATTAATCACTTAGCCCGATAGAGCTAGACATTATTCATAATGACCGGGCATTATATATAATGCCCGCATTAATCACCTGGTCCATAACATATATAAATGAGTGACAAACGGCACAAATTACTGGATAAGGAACAGTTGGCTACTCAAATTTTAAAATATATTATCATTAGTGGAAATCTAATGTCACAGTATTTCTTTATTTTGAATGTGAATAACTCACGCTGAAAATATATGCATGATAAATTACATTTAAATAATAAATAATGAAAACCAAATGGTCTAATTAATTATTGAGATAAAAACGATCCCAAGTAATAATAATCATATTTAGTTCATTTTCCCTACTAGTAGAATAGTAGAGTAGAATGAGTGACAATCAATCATTTATGACGTATGTAACAGAACTAGTTTCTAAAAATAATGAGATCGGGGCTGTTTTCTAGGTTTCTAATAATATTTTTTAGTGTTCGTTGACGGTATTCTTCTTCCAAAGTAAATTTGCCAATATTCTTGAAGAACTTTTGCACATTATTGTTATTTGAATAATACAGTTAATTATGTTTAATTTTTCGTCATCAGAATAACCCATTGTAATTTTTTAATTTTTTAAATTAAAATGGGTTATTCTAATAATGATAAATCCCATGTATTTTTAAAAGAAGGTTCGTTTCTATCGTTTTTGTCTGATTGTGTGCGAGAGAGATAGAGTTATAGTGTGCGATAGAGATAGAGTGACTCTGTCCTCATAGAGATAGACTGACTCTGTCCTCATAGAGAGTTTATCTCTCTCTCTCTGCTGTTTTCAGGAGTCTCCCCAGGAATTTCAGGACACCTAGGGAGGGAGCGTGGGGTAGAGCGCGTGGCCTTTTTAGCCTTCGTTAACGATCTATGATGTCACACAGTATAAGAAAAAAAACGTTTTTTGCTCGTAACTCGGAAATGGCTGGAAATATAAACAAATTTCCCCTTGGTTCTGAGTAGAGCCCTCGGTGAGTGACGCAGAGCGGGGTGTCACAATATATGAAAGAAAAAAAAACAGTATTTGTTTAGACTCTAAGTATCAAAAAATCTCCCATGGTGAACAAATAAATCTCCCATGGTGAACCAGTGAAAAATGTCAAAACCCGCATGTAAAAAAAAAATCGGGAGCAATGGTGTGTGACATCATAGGATAAAAAAGTGTTTATAACTCGGAAACGGTGCGTTGAATCGAAAAAATAATTGAAAAATGTCAACCCCTCCCTCCCNATACATCACGTTTTTTTTTTAATTTTTGGAAAAATATATATGTATATTTATAAAATATTCCATCACGGTAGATTAACCAGCACAATTACCTACAATTAAAAAATAAATTTAATTTTCATCGTTTAGATCCTAAGCTTAACATTTTGCGCCTGTTAGCCGTAGTCGTACATTATTCAACATATCAACATAAAACAAAAATGTACGTGTAGGGTAAACCTTTAACTTTAAATAAAAGTTTTTACATTAGAAATACAGGGTGTTAAAAAAAGAGTGTAAAATATTTCAGGAGGTAATAGTATGAACCAAAATAAGCAGAAAAGTCTTAATAAACATGGGTCCGCAAAGTAACGGTTGCGGAGATATGGACCACTACCTATTCGTTTTTCAAACATTTTATTTTATTAGGAATAAACCGATAAAAGAAGCTTTTAACAAACAAAAAACAAAGTTACAGAAGATGTTCAAAGTGCCCTCCGTCCATTTCCAAGCAGGCACGACATCTTCGTCTCAACGATATTCGAACTCTTTCGAAAACACCCTCCTTGGTTTGGATTTCTTGACACTTTTGATTAATCCGTAGCTGCAGCTCTTCCAGGCTATTTACAGGAGTGCCATACACATCTATGTGGAAAAGTTTGGTGTAAATGCTCTCTAACGGCTATGGAAAAATGAGCTGGAGCACCATCATGTTGGAACCACATTTGTTGCCTCTGATTCAAAGGAATGTCTTCCAAAAACTCATACAGTGTGTTCTGCAGAAAGCTGAGGTAAGCAGCGCCTGTTAATCGGTTTGGTAAAACAACAGGACCTAGAAACCTGTCACCTACAATACCCATCCAAATGTTTAATGTAAAAACGTTTATTTAAAGTTAAAGGTTTACCCTACACGTACATTTTTGTTTTATGTTGATATGTTGAATAATGTACGACTACGGCTAACAGGCGCAAAATGTTAAGCTTAGGATCTAAACGATGAAAATTAAATTTATTTTTTAATTGTAGGTAATTGTGCTGGCTAATCTACCGTAATGGAATATTTTATAAATATACATAAATATACGTCCAAAAATTAAAAAAAAAACGGTGACTTATAAAACTAGGGCAACGTATAAAACCTTACCAAAACTGCAAAAATGAAGATACATACTTGAATTTTGCTTGGTTTCTGCATATTTACACTATGTGTGTACCAAATTTCAAGTGTCAGCAAAGCTTCGAACAAATTTGGCATAGTTCGAAACTTTCAGATGCTGATAAATGTATAACACCTTATAGAACAAAAAGGTTTGCTTTCCTGATTTTCGGCTTTAGCGTCATTATTGTATATATATTGAACTATGGTTTTCGAGAGTTTTCACTTTTTGTTTATAAATTGACATTTTTAAAGCAACTTTAAAAAATTGACGTTATATACCGCTTTTTCAATCTCACGGCTTTGTTTTTATAAATTTCGTAATTGGACCATCGCCATTTTGTGGCTATTTTTATCACGAACACAATCATGTCCTAAGCATTTTTTCGTACAAAGTCGTCCCGCTGAGTTATTTAAAGAAAACTACTAAAAAAAATTTTCACTATTAAATTGTTGTAACTTTTTTTCCTGATAAAATACTTTGTC